CTGAAGAAACTATTCTGAACTAAAATGTATTCTCCCTTAGGGACTTCTTTCAGCACGAAGCCCAATTACTTTTTAAATGGGGGGGTTAGCCCTCCAGGGAAACCATAAATATGTCCATAGTGAGTGGTAGTGAATTAAATATTCACGATTGCCCTATTGCAGGAATCCAGGAAAGAAAACAGTAGACAGTTCTCCCTAGTAAAAATACTAGCAGGGGATTTCTAGCAATCTAAGTGATACTGCACAATTTATTCTTTAATATCCAGTTTATGAAAATTTAGTGTCTCAGTGGTTGAAACAGACCACTTCTGTTCTTTGAGTCATGGCTGGTATAGACACTTTAGGTGTCTCTTGGTAATTTCTTATGGAATAATGGAATGGTTTGACTTGGAAAGAATCTTAAAGGTCATTTTTCCAGCCCCTTTGCTGAGGTCAGGTACATGTTTCACTAGACCAGATTACAAATGCTATCCAGCACTTAGCCTTGAATACTTCCAGGGATGGGGTATCCACAACTTCCTTGGGCAACCTGATGCAGTGCCTCACTGCCCTCTGAGTAACACTGCCCTCTTCCTGACATCTAATGTGAATTTCTCCTCTTTAATTTAAAACTGTTCTTCCTAGTCCTGTGGCTGTCCATTTGAAAACTTGCTCTCTCTCTTCTAAATAAGACCCCTTTAGGTACTGGAAAGCTGCTATTCAGCAGCTTCCTGTTTCCCAAGCTTTACAACCCCAGCTTTCTCAACCTGTCCTCAGAGAAGAAGCCCTTTTATCATCTTTATGGTCAAAGGCGCTGCTCTGGACTCACCCCAGCAGGTCCCTGTCCCTGCTGTGCTGGGAGCCCAGCTCTGCATGCAGTGCTCCAGGTGGGTCTCAGCAGAGCAGAGCAGAGGGGCAGAATCCCCTCCCTGCCCTGCTGCCCACGGGGCTCTGGGTGCAGCCCAGGACACGTTTGGCTCTCTGGGCTGGGAGTGCCATGGCTGGGCCATGTGCAGCCTCTCACCCACAGCACCCCAAGCCCTTCTGGGCACGGCTGCTCTGGGGCTGCTCATGCCCAGCCTGATAGTGCTGATAGTGAGGTTGTTCCTACCCAGTGTAGCACTACCCAGCACCAGCACTTGGCCTTGTTAAACCTCATTGTATTCTCATGGGTTACTTCTTAAACCTGTCCAGATCCCTCTGGATGGCATTCCATCCTTCAGGTCTCCTGCCCTGTTCTGTAGTGGACCCTTTTTCTCTGTGCTTTTTTTTTGTTGTTGATATATCAGCAGAAGCTGTCTGTTGCCTTTCCCATTCCTTGCAGGTTTCCCTTCCCAGCTGAGCCCTTCCTAACTCCCCCTGTGCCTTTGTCCTCTGTTGCTCCCTGGCAATCTGTCCTTGCTAAAACCTTCTGTAGTGGCTTCTTAAGTTTGATGCCAGTCAGAAGTTACTCCTCCAGACAAACTTGCCTCCTGCATTACGTCCTTGTTTCTTCACACTCTATTCATATGCTTTAGAGAAGTTGCTTTCCAAGTTCAGCCCTTTCTGCTGAGTCCCTTGGCATTTAAGGTAATTGAGTTCTTCCAGGCTACCACTTACCAATTTCCTGAACAAGCCAAGACAGTTGCTCTGAAATCCAGGATCTTTTTTCTGCTTTTTGCCTTCATTGCTTTCCTGAGTATTTCAAATTCTTATTTCTCCTTGTAGTCACTCAGTCTAAGGCTGTCATCAGCCTTTATGTCCCTATCAATTTCTTCCTTAATTCATACAACATCCAGCAGTGCAACTTCACTACTAAAAGGAGTATCTGCAGAAAAAATAAGTTTCTGGTGCTCTCTGAATGTCCTTCACTCTGCTGTTCTGCTCTGCCAGCAAATGTCTCAAAATTCCCCCATGAAAACATGTAATTATGAAGCTTCTTCCAGTTGTTTAAAGGCTTCATCCACTTTCTTTTCTTGACTGGGCAGTCTATAGTATGTGCACTCCACATTAACCCCTCATTTGCTATCCCCATCATGCTGATCCATGAGCCTTTATCCTTGACTTCTTGGATATGCTGGGTTGTTGAAATAGTGGGAAAACAGTGTGCATGGTGAGAAACCATGTCTGCACACAAGAGGAGTATCTTCTTTTGCTGCCTGAATGACTTGGGATGAGTAATTTGCCCTCTTTGCTTCTCCAGGTCTCAGACTGTGAAGTCTCTGTGGGGTACAGACCTGCCATAACAGAGACAGATGATGTGCAAGGGCTGCCACCTTCCAAAGATTGCAGGCATCATAGCATTTGTGTTCCTAAGTGCAACCTGTGTCCTCTCTTCATGGAGGCTGAACTTTGGTGGTAGAGAGAACCTGCAAAAACACTTTCCAGTGAAAGTGTAGGAGGGGAATGCCCCTGTGCACAAAAGAAAGATTTGGAAGGAAACGTGGTTGCCAAAAGCATGTTTTTACAGGATTCCCTCATTACCAGGAATATAGTGATTTTGGGCATGACAGTGGAAAAAATCATACCCTAATTTACTCTGCTAAGTGTAAGGATTTTGAATTTCTGTGAGTTACACAAGTAAGCTATCTGAGACAACAAGGCATGATTAAGGCAAAAGGAAATATAGATGAGTGCACGATGAAAATTAATATTTAATTGACCCGTTCCAAATAGTTATACATATGAAAAGACAAAATATTTGCTGTATTTGTTGTTCAGGAGGAATGTTTACATACTTTTGAACAGCTGACCTCTGCTTCATTTTGCATCAACCAAGTCAAGCCTTATTTCCTTTTTGTATTATGCTGTAGGGCTTCCTTGTTTGGGTTACAAAACATGAAAATTCACTGAGCACTGTGCAGTTTTCTCATTACCATCCACATAGAAATACCTATTTTTAGGCTCAAATATGTGCACAAAGACTTTAATGAGGAAAAAATATTTTTCTGACCTGTCCAGCTTGCAGTGTTCAGGTATTTCTAGCTGTGATGTTCACACACACACAGACACACAGACACACAGACACACACAGACACACAGACACACGCACATACACTTCTCTGTGTTTTGCATCACCAGTAGCTAAAAGGTACCTGTTGACATGTTGTTCACCTTGTTTTCTGCTGTGAGAATTGTGCTGCTTTTCTTGACTAAAGTAGTTTTAAGAAAATTTTTAAACCAATATGTGCCCACTGGCAGTGCTGGGGTCAACTTTAGCTACTGCGTTTTCTGCAACTTCAGGTTGCCCATGTCTGCAGACCAGAAGATCAGAGACAAATGGTTTAATTAGTCTTAATACCATTTTGAGCGTACTGCTCTAATCAGTTGATCAGGTTTACACAGGTACTTAATCTGGCATAAAACTCTACAAAAATAAAATGGGCTTCAATGGACAAAGGGGGGGTTTGCAAAAACCATCCCTTCCTAATATCAGTGGCTGTGCCTTGTTTTAAACAAGACTGGATTTACTTTGATTTCTAGATTAGTGCAGGTTACACTGAGCAGAACATTTAATGCATCTCATTGATTTTCCTTGTAATACTGTTGATACACAGGTCATTGCTCTAATAATTTGTTTTACCATTAGAATTCTGTATGCAGATCTAGTCCCCAAGGATATCAATGTGTAACCAGATACTGTGTGATCTAATCAGGTACTGCAAGAAATACATTATCTCTTCAACACCTAGCAGTAGAAAGCTTCATCAAAATGGAAAAGCTATTTAAAGCAAAATGCAGTTCAAAGAGGCAACCAGGAGAAGTAGGTGTGTACAAAATTTCAAGACATTTCTCAGATTAAACAAAGCCAAATCCAAGCCAGAGTCTAGGATGATTTGTCATGACTCCATTTGTTGTTAAAGAAGAAAATGTTATAGCTGCTGCTTCAGTTTATAGGGTTTATTCCAGTTCAGGTAAAGTAGCATCACTCTCAGAAATGACTGACTGGCAGAATTTCATTAATGTGATACTTACTTGCTACAGCATGCGTGCTTTGGAAAGCAATTTTGAAAAGCACCTGCAAAAGCACTGGTGACAGACAAGACCAGTGCTGTGAACTCATTTTGATGTAGGATTTGGATCTCTGAGCACCTAGTACTGCAGTCCATTTCCAGAATACAAGTCCTGCTGACTTTGAAGGAGTTTTGCAAGCGGTGTGTCTCGGGCTGAGCAGCAGACCTGCTTGCTGCTGCGAGTCTGACCAGGACCATCTATGGCTGGAATGGCAGGAGTGTGGCTCTGCCCGCAGCTGGACTGTGTTTCTGTGCAAACTGCCAGGTGCAAACACCAGGTGTTCAGCAGGGTAATGGTTGACAAAGATGATAAGCATCTCCTAGGGTCAGATTATAACTCCATATAACTGCTTTCATGTCGATGTCTGAATGCTGAGCATTGTTAATTTGGCTTTTGTCTGAGTTTCTGAATTTTATCAGTGGAATGCAAAGCTGTTCTTCTCTCTACTTATTTAGCAAAAGAAAGTAAAGGATTTTGGAAGTAAATTTAGGAAGGAAAACCATTTAGTAACCTTGTGTATGACCAGATGAGACTTGATTTAAGATAGAACATAAAATATTTATGTTCCTTGACATTTTTCCAACTCCTATTTTATCTGGCTATAAAGGTATGTGTGGAAGGATATTGGTTTGTTTTGGTTTTTTCCTTTGGTTCTACAGACTAAACAATGCACAATTCAGTGTGCAGGGCCAAACTCTCCTCCTTGGCTCAAGGGATTTATTGTTTTGCTTTGCTACCAGAATTGCTTTGATCTTCAGAGGCCACTGGGTTCATTGAGCCTAAAGGCCTAAGTAAGAGCTGGAAAAGAGTGACTGAGCATCCAGACAAGCAGTGAAACAGACTTTCTTTGAAGCTCCTACAAAGTATTGTTGGGGCAAATGCTGCCAGACAAATGTACTGTTGTTGAGGGAATGGGTGTGAGGGTTGGTTGGTGGGTGTTGGTAGAGGTCAGAAAATTATTTTCATTGAGAAAAACCCACTAAAGGCTTTTAATATATTTTTTATATTTTTTCTCTCTTGTGTTTTAGGGTCTCATGACTCTTTTAGCTTCTACATTGATGAAGCCTCTCCAGTTGGGCCTGAACAGCCAGAGACGGTCCAGAATTTTGTGTCAGTTTTTGGGACTGTGGCTAAAAAGCTGATGAGGAAGTGGCTGGCTACACAGACCATGAACTTCACCAGCCAGCTGGGGGCAGGTATACGGTATTTTGATCTCAGAATTTCCACCAAGCCCAGAGACCCAGACAATGAACTCTACTTCGCCCACGGTTTATTCAGTGCCAAAGTCAAGGAAGGTCTGGAGGAGATCAACGCGTTTCTCACTGAGCACCCAAAGGAAGTGGTCTTCTTGGACTTCAATCATTTCTACGGGATGCAGAAATGCCATCATGAAAAGCTTGTCCAGATGCTCAAGGACACATATGGAAACAAAATGTGTCCTGCTATATTTGCCCATGAAGTCAGCCTCCAGTACCTGTGGGAAAAGGAGCACCAAGTGCTAGTGTTCTACCACAGTCCTGTGGCCGTCGAGGTGGCCTTCCTGTGGCCAGGCCAGATGATGCCAGCTCCATGGGCAAACACAACAGATACGGAAAAGCTGATTCAGTTCCTGCAGGCATCAATCACTGAAAGAAGAAAGAAAGGCTCCTTTTTCATATCTCAAGTAGTGCTGACACCAAAGGCTAGTACGGTGGTGAAAGGGGTTGCAAGTGGTCTCAGAGAAACGATCACAGAGAGGTGAGTTTGTGGCTGGTAAGGTATGCTGACTGTGCTGAATGTGTGTTGGTAGTGCTGTTCTTCCAATTCCTTTTAAAGGCACTCTAGCAGATGCATTTCTTCCATGCTACTGTGGACCAGTCAGAACTTGGCATAATGCTAAAATATTTAAAGAGAAACACATTGAAGGACAAACTTTTGCATCTTGAAAGAAAATCTGCCAATAAGCCTTATTGGCTTAACCTTCTCTTTTTTTCTGAATGCAGGTTTTGCTTATTTGCTTTGTTTTCCAAATGTGGTTTCTTACCATAATCACTGAATATCATGTCTAGGATTTCTGTACTGGAAAATCTTATCTGTATGATCTAGACAAATCTATCTGTATGATCTAGGTAATCTTTTGTTTGTGCATCAGGCTTCAGATATTGGATTAAAAAAAACCTTGTCCTGGCTCATCAGCAAAGCCTGATGCTGCAGGATTTGCCATTACACAAAGATGCATGGTTTCTCTGTCTCTGTACCATCACACATTGTATCAAAGACAGCAGGACACCATTAGAGAGAATTTGACTCCTTAAAGTCTTTCTTCATTTACCACGCAGGAAAGAGATGGCAGACCATCATATAGCTTCTGTATATGGAATAGCTTGTTGACAGGCCATTAGTTGTTCTATTACAAAAAAAAAGCCACCTGTGCAAGACATGCATTATTTATACCATTCTGACTTTGATAAATCACAGCCAGTTTTGAGCTTAAAGGCATATATATGTGACTATGTTCTTGACAACTTGGTAGGAAAACTGAAACTTAATGCCAAGATGCAAGAGCTTTTTCTTTTTCTCCTTGAAAATAAAGAAGGGTTGCAGAGTGTAAAAAAATTTCAATGACGGTCAGTGTCCTGCTAATGTTTTGCTCTCTTCAGGGATGTGCCTGTGACAGGAAGGTCTGTTGGGAGCATAACCCCTTCTATGAAAAATGCAGTGTCTGCAAAGAAAACATGCCACATATTTGGGAAAGGTTGAGCTGTTTTTACGGCAGTTTTCCAAAGCAGCTCTTGACTGGAAAAAATAGGTAAAAACCTCACCTGACATGGTAAAACACTGACTTGGAAGGTTTTACGGGCAGTGGAACGGGATTTAGAAGCACTTGTGTGACTGCACTTGCAGCTCTTGGTATATCCTTCATCTGTGTTTTAGGGGCTCCATCAGGCTGGGGAGTCTCCCTCTCTCCTGAGTCTGAAGAGCACTTCTCTGCACTAAAACACTGCTTTGTTGATGGATTTTACTGATAAACACCTTGTTGTTAGGGAACTTTTTCCTCTGGTAAACATCTTCCTGAGTGTTCTTTAGAACATGAAGTAGGACAATCAGGAAGCTAACAGGTTGTTCTTAAAGCTTGTTGTATCAATAAAATAGCCATCAAACCTCATTTTCTTCATCTTTGGCTTCTAATGTGCTTTTTAGAAGCTGTTTGTAAAGCAAAGACTTGAAATAGATGCTGAAAATGTTTGACTGAGTTTTGAATATCCAGAGCCATTGAACTCTCAGTGTGCCTTTCCCAACAGCAAATCTTGAAATTATAACTACCTTCAAAAGCCAATAAGTAATTGGGCTGAAAAACCTGGAAATGTTGTTTTGCCAGATTTTAACTGATATTTTTCACATGATCCCCAAGTGTGTAGTCACATTTCTACATGAAAAGTTGTTTCCTTTTTTGTATAATTCTTTTAGCACTTATGAGAGAAATGGATCTTCAAAATAATCTCCAAGGCTGATATTTAGTCTTCCAAATATGGCATCTCATTTTAAATTTTTATTTTAAAACAAAAATAGACTGTAGGAAGAAATTTATGATAATATTGGTTTGATATGATAATATGTAAGTTTCAAATTTATGATAATATTGATAGAAACTGAGCCTGTATTTTGAGTTAACTGCTCTAAAAGTAAACATCAAATATATTCAGAAGTGCTCCTCATTTTATGAAGATTCTGTTAAAAATAAATAGGCAAGCAGTTAAAAGATGAAGTACTATTTACACAGTAGAATTTGCACAGTTGTCTTCAGCCTACCCTGCCTTAATGTTTCAGTAGCTTAAAAATATCCACACCAAAGTTAACAAGACATACGTTCCAGCTGTGCTATGTTTGTCACCTTGAACCATCACTCAGTAAAAATATTATTTTGTTCTTTTCAAAATAAATACCCAGACCAAATCCTATCTTTGTGTCCAGGTGGGTAACATATGTGCTTTTGTTGCCAGTTACTGCATAGACTTATACATTACACCGTTTTCTCCTTTTTAAGAAATGGTGGTGTAGAGCCTTGCATTAGTAGTTATCTTGCTTTTGGAAGCAGTTTTGTCACCATACTTGGACGGGGTTCTTCCCTCTCATTGAATTTTAAAAGTTCTGAATTCAAATGAATAAGGTTGAATTTTTCAAATAATTCTGATGTGAGGGTTTGTTGTTTGGTTTGGTTTTTTTCCTAAATTAAGTATTACATTTAAGAAATGTTCCTTTTGCATTTTGAATAAAACATGTAGTAATTTATTTTGTTTTGTTTCTCCACCTGCACAGTGGCCTTTTACATATTGACTTCATTTTGAAAATATGGCAAAGTGTAGATCGCCTCAGAGACAATGAAACATGTCAGGTTTTGATCTCTGAAGTTGATTTTAATAGTGAAATTGTTTATGATTTGAAGAGCAGTGGCTGCCTTAGAGGGAGAGCATGGTTTCCCCCAGTCACAGCATCCATTGGACTAGGGAATCTGTGAGCAGACTCCATACAGCAATCCCATCCGGACTCCATTCTGCTGTTTTGCAGCTTTCTTTGGGAAAGAACACAGTGAAATATTCCTCTCAGCCAAATGGTTGGTTTAATGGCTTTTCATCGTGATTGCCTGTGATGGTAGAGGTCCATGCTCACACTGTAGTAGAGAAGCCTTCCAAGGCAATATATTTCAGAAGGGGTAGAGATGTTATTCTATAGCCTGTTCCCTAGAGCTCAGGTATGCAAGCTGTGAGGCCCAAAATAACCTCAATTAAAAAAAAATCCAAAGCCCAAAACATTTTCATGCTCTTAAGACTCAATTCAGTGAAGATATACCAGGTATGAGTTTTCTACTGATAATGTTTGCTCACAAAGTTTGCTGTCATAACAGGTAGTAAGCATTCTGTGGTATGGTAATTAGAAAGACGGAGAAATTAAAAGTTTTGAAGCTTTCTGTCCTGCACAAATACGTGAGGGCAAAGCTATTTTTGGTAAGGTCTTCCTAGGACCACAGTTCAGTGTAACAACACTTGGTAATACAGATTTCACCTTCACTACTTGAATGAGGAGAATTGCTTGCATGTGTGCACATTATGTTTCTTGGATTTGATTAAAAACTTTGAGGACTATCAATGCGTTTCCAGGCTTAGCATTCTGTCACACACGCAGTTTAGATGCCAAGAAATGCTCTTTGATTAGCAAACAATATATGCCAAATGAATTACATTTGCTGTGCTCATTGAATTAACTTCATAGTGAGGCAGCTGCCTTCAGTATATCTGAAAGGTGGTTGTGAGACACCCTTTTGATTAGTGTAGAGCTGTTCCTAATAATCTAGTTTGCTTTCTGATTTGCAGTAAAATTGCTAATTTTATCTATGACACTTGAGACAAGTGTGATACTCTCTTTGTTGTCTCTGTCGTTTATTAATGTCGCAGAAGAATAGATCTCCTTCAGAGGATGCAGAAATCCTGTGGTACTTGTAAAGCTTTCAAAAAATAGAAAGTAAACACATTCCCTGCCAATTGTCACTTGATTTCCAAATTAATCTCTAAGGATAATGTTCCCTGTGGCTCACATATGACTAAATCCTTGCCTACCCTGCTAAAGCTTCCTCCTTAGCAACCAAACCAAATTTAAAAAAAAATGTCCTGCACATGAGAATAAAACCTTTTGAAATGGAGGCAAAGCATCCAGTTCACAATATTAACAGAAGGGGTGGTAAGTAGGCCACAGTAACTGTCAGGAGAAAATCCATCTCTGGGTGCAGTCATGAACTAAGGAGAGTCAGATTTAGCTAGGGTATGGATATTAGATGATTAGGTGGATATTGTGTGGAAAATGATTCCTGAAGTTGCCAGAAGTAGGATTTTTTGAGTCAGTTGCTGATGGTGCCACACCTCCGTCAGCTGAATTTTTGAGTTTCTGTGTGACAGGAAGAGTGGGAATTGATCATATTTTAATCTGCACTCCATATTGACTGATGTCATTCTTAAACTATTTTATATGAAAAAGAAAAACAACAGAAATGGCAACTATGTTTTTCTAATTTTCTGCATCCTTCTTGGCTGTGACCTTGATGTCTGTCTCTACTGTAGATTTGCAGGAGAGGAGCAGGCTCCAGTGAGCTGGTTCCAATTTTAGGACTCGAAGCTGATGTGTCAGCTCTTTAGCTGGGAGGTGAGGGGAGCCTCAGTCCCTCGCTAATGTGTGTGGTACAAGCACGCCTGACCACACATGTTTGCCTTGGGACGCAGCTGGCTTTTCCTTTTTTTCCTTTTTTTCCTTTTTTTTTTTTTTTGTTATTATTTCCTGACCACAGAAGGCACACAATGGCATTCTGGTATATTAGCAAGCTATTCAAAAGAACTCTGGGCAATCCTGACAAATCCTTAGTATTCCTGTTCTTCCTCAAACTGTGCTTAATTACTTTTTCAGTCTTTCTACACAACAGGCAGTCACTGTGTTTTGCACACAGAACAGCACAGGGAGATTTCTTTGGAAGAATCTATCCACCACGTCTACAGGCCAGCACAATGAAACCCCCAATGGGCCGTGTATGGTAGTGGCATTTCATCACGGACCATCTGTCTGCATGAGAATTTCAGTACAGCATTCCCACAGGAAGGGCTGTGTGGTTGTGTCTGATGGCTCTGGTCATGAACTTGGAACAGTATTAAATTGTCACAAAATACAGGAGCACAGGTTTTTAATGGCTTTGCTAAAGTATTTGTCAACATACCGAG